ATATGTTATAAAGTCGTTATATAAGATATTACAGTGTAATAATTACATTAGCTAATACTAATCATGTATATAATTTATTATTACAGTAACTAGAATTTGAACTATAACTAGGTATGAAATTTCTTAATATCTACATATATTATACTATGGAGGTTGTTCTCTTTGGTACACTGGCTGGAAATACATATAACAAACACCAGTTTTTGACAACTGCTTTGCCCGTGCTACCGTGGGATAAAAAGTAGCCTATGTTTTATTTCATACTATAATCTACCTCTGAGGCCTTATTTAAAGTATTCGAAACGAGTACGCGTTTTTCAACTGATTGGCCGGCGCCAATGAAGCAACCAATCAGAGCGCCGAACGCGTACTCGTTACGATTAAACAAACTCTACTAAGGCCTCTGTTAGGTCTGAACATATTTTAATAACTAATGCATGTTCCTTTTCCATGTAAGATAAAGGTTTTTTTTAAGGGGCGAAAATCATCGAATGACTGCTCCCGCCTGGGTGAGGCGGGAGGGAGTGTCAGACTCTTACTGACTAAAAACCACCCCGTTCCTTCTCCTGCACGTCGAGCCGAAGCCCCGGTTACCCGTTAGGTTCTCCGCAACAAGAAAAAGGTTTTAGGGCTCGTACACAACGATGCGATGCAATGCGTATTCGCAGCGCAGAAAATCACGATGCGAATTGCTGCGATGCGATTTCGTGCGACAAGGTGTTTCGCAGGATGACCATTACTTCGACGACCGTCAACCATACTAATCGTATTTTAAATTAAAAAATAGGTGGTGACAAAAGAAGTATGCACTTCTGTCATTTCTTAGGAGATACAGGAAAAAGATTTTGGGAAGATAAGATTTTGATGCGCGAAGTAAATTAATTTGTTAGTTCTGCGACGCGTAGAGGGAGCTCGTACATTTTTGCGGTGTACAAACAAGCCCTTGAACTGTAGTGGGACATTTTACAAGATAAATCTACAAAGCTATTCTAATAACGTCAAACCCCACATAGCACCTAAGCTTGTAGATTTATAAAAAAGAAAAGGAGAAAGGTCATATGTGTTATTTTGTTTTGTTTATTACTTCTTCACGGCAAAACGACTAATGATCGGGATGAAATTTGGAACACTTACAAATTCACAGTGGCCTTTGCGCTCATATGCTACTTTTTATTCGACTGGACCGCGGCTGAAGTTGGTGGCAGATGCTAGTGTATTATAAATGTGTGCAAAAGTTTGTGAAGATATTTTGTACCTACGTAAACACTACTGACCCATCTGGATCACATCTTGGAAATTTGGGTGAAACCACAGGATGAAACTATCATAACAATATCACGCCTTATTTCCCCGGAAGTGGGTAAGACAGAGGTGCTCATCACGGCACTTAATGTCATTGTAAAACGTAACACCCACTTTTCACTTGCTTGCTATATACCGGGCACAATTCCAGACTCCGTGCTACCTTTTTTTTTACTCCGTGCTACTACTGAGTTTTCTTAAAAAAACCCAGTAATATTTTGCCCGACCCGGGAATCGAACCCAAAAACCCTTGCCCGGCAGTCGCACTTGCGACCACTCGGCCAACGAGACAGTCAGGGTGAAACTAGTAGATGCATAATAAGATCCTGGACCAAGTCTAATTGGCAAATGTTACAAACTGTATTACTTTATGTAACAACTCATTATAAACTATTGTTTCAATCAGTTGATTAGAGTTATCTAATTTTCAAATCTTGATCTGTTTATAATTGATGTATGTTTTGAAAGTTTCATTTAGTTCCTTCCCGTTGAAGCAATCGTGAATAATTAAAATTCTGATCGAGATTGAAACAGTGCAACGGCTTGGAAATTCAAACCTAATCGATTCATGTTATAATCCTTTTGTCGTAACTGTAGTTACTAAGATTTTCAGATATTTACTAAACTCTTAAAGTAATTGGGTACTTTTTTCAAAAATAAATTATTTCGACTGTTCAATACAATAAAATATTAAAAAAATAATCACACTTTCATAATTTGCTTATGACCAACTTAATTTTAGTACTTTACCAGTAAATTTTTAAGAATTGAGTATGCTGTTTGACCCTAAAAAAACGTAACTACACAATACGCAATCTCGTAGAAAATTCATAAAAAACTGTGTTGTATTTGACAGTTCCAAAAAAGTATTGAATTTGACTAGTTGGCATCATATACCCAATTGTTTCTCACTTTGTGGTGTGACTAATCCCAGAGGAAGTAAATATTTAACCCGTCAGCTCCATCGCTCAGTTAATCACTCCACGGTACAACACCTCTAGTAGGTTGCAAGAACGTGTGACGTCACAGATAAAACGCTGATGACCCGCTATTAAATTAATACAGTGATTTATACCAAACATTTTCATCATTAAACCATTTTATACACAGCTAAACAAATTGACTGACTGCATGGTTGGCGCGGTGGCTGGGCAACTGGCTGCCGCGCAACGTGTCGCGGGTTCGATTCCCGCACGGAACAACTCTTTGTCTGATCCACAGATTGTTGTTCCGGGTCTGGGTGTCATGTGTATGTGAAATTTTGTGTTTGTAAACGCACCAACGACACAGGAGGAAATGCTAATGTGGGTCAACGTTTTTTTAAAAAAAGTAGGTAAATAGTTATGATTTTTCTACACCACATCAATGAACTCGAACCAACTAACTAACGTCAAATACAACATAAACAAAAGTAGATAAATACTTTATTTATGGGATAAGCTGGTAAACGAGCAGACATATCACCTGATAGTAAGCAATCGGCGTCGCCCATGGACACCCAAAACACCAGAAGCGTTTCAAGTGCGTTACCAGCCTTTTGGGGATTAAGAATTTGAGGATTGTTGCGAGTTCATGGATTGGGGAGATTGAGGAGAGGGGTTATTGAGCCTCCGGTAATCTCACCCACGCGACGAAATAAATTGTCGCCGGCTCATTCCTAAAACAATACTAAAACACTGACTTACTGACTGCCTCGTTGGCCGAGTGGTCGCAATTGCGACTGCCGGGTAAGGGGTCTCGGGTTCGATTCCCGGGTCGGGCAAAGTATTACTGGGTTTTTAAAAGAATTCTCAGTAGTAGAGCGGAATCTGGAACTGTGCCCGGTATATGGCAATAGACTCACCCCCTATTACATGGGACTCATAACATAAATAGTGAAAAGTGGGTGTTACATTGTACAGTGGTATAATGTGCACCTCTGCCTACCCCTTCGAGGATAAAAGGCGTGATGTTATGTAATACTAAAACAGTACAGAACAAAACGCCAAACTCAGAAAATACACTAAAATCACTCAAAGCTATTGACACAACAAATCAACACCATGATTTAGTAATCTCATTAGCTACAGTATGTTCTTAAAATAATAGTTTGTTATCGTCAACGTTTGGAATGTGCTTGGCCTAGTGATCCAGTTGTCAATCATTACCAACTTGGTGTGAAGTTACAGTTAAGTTATATTTAGTTATGTAACTTAATACTTGACTATTGTATATCAGTTATTATTGATAGTAATACTATCGACTGTTTGGACACTGCGCGCGAGTCATTTTGTTGCTTAGTCGGTGTAGAGTTAGGAATGTTGTAGAGTTCGCATTTAGTTTGTTTAATTTTTTACTGTTGAGTTGAAAATTAAATAAATCGAAAACTTGATTTAAACTATCAAACACCGCGCGGTCACCGGTGACTGCAACCTATTGTTCTTTAATTGTGTCTATAATGACGGTACTCAAAGAGTTAAAGACGGTTTAGGATTGTTAGCAATGCTTCTTATGACAAATTGGAAAAGAAATAAAAACGGATTTTCTAAAAAGATTTGTTCTGTTTTAATTTGAAACTTTTATTTGGATTAGATCAATCGCAGCTCAGCACCTTATTTTTATTATCTACTGAAATCCTGTGGTGGACTTCCCACTTAGAACAACAAACTTCGAACACTAAATAACCCAAAAAAAATAAAAAATAATAAGACAGACACACATAGATAATATTGTGATAAATCCAAAATCAAAATTAAATCAATCCCGAAATTTTCGTGTCACAAAACCTACTATTATAATAATAACTAGCTATAACTAGTTTGATCCAGTATAAACTATAACTAGTTTCTACTGTCATTCTACACACCCATACTGCTCACCACGCATTCCACAACCAGTTTGACGCATCAACACACGGCCACCTCTATACATTCTCAGTTCTATGGTTGTGCTCCAGTTGTTCAGCCGGCGGGCGCATCTCGTTACTACTGTTACCTAACAATACTCTCGTACTTGAATCAGATGCCGATGTGACTGCTGTAACTGCGGACTTAAGACATTTGTTTTCTTTGTTGCTGTGCGTGTAGTTTTTAAGAATTTTCGGTCAAGAAAGCATGGATATAATATTTCAATTGAAAGAACTGGAGAAGATTTGCTTTCAATAATTTTCAAACGACTATTAAGGTATCGATTTTTGTTTGGCATGATGTCTGAAAATGTTTTAATTTAATTTTTTGTTTATTATACATGGGATTATTAAAAGTAACTGTGCGACACGGTACACAGGTTACATATAATATGAGCCTTATCTTTCCAATCACACTTCGAGGAATAAAATATTGTTTTGTTATTATAACTAGTAAAATGTTTAATCGACTTGGTGTAACAACAGGAAACCTATAAATAGATACATAATTCTAATAATGTGCGGAAAATTGCAGTTTATATTTGGATTCAGGATTCAGGAACTTTTCAAGGAAAAATTTTCGGTTTCCTTTTTTATGCAAACAAAAAAGGAAACCGAAAATTTTAATTTTAATTGTAAAATGATATCATTTTACCCATAGTCGTGACTTTATTTCGTTCTTCAGCAAATAAAATTATAACCTCTAAATAAAATAATGTCTCAAGTTCAAATTTTACCTAGGCATTTCTATCACAAGTATGAGTTCATACATCTATGCGTACTAGGAAATTTTTTGCTATATAAACGTAAGTAAGAAATTACAAAGTCATTCGTTGTCCAACTCTCTCACACTCCAGTTTTAATCTTAGCACCATGAAGCTGGTAAATAAACAGTTTAATTAGATTTACATCTTTTAATTTAGTGTCTAGAACTAGATCTAGGTTTTAAAATTGAAAGTGAATGTTACATTTTGTGATTTGAAGTTGTGAATTGGTTTTTTGAAAGAAAGGCTCATTAGACCTTTTTTTGTTTTCGTCTTCAAGGCCTTTTTTGTTGTCTTTTATCTTTGTTATTTACTTTTTTGGTATTATGTGAATTTCTTCTGTTTATAGTGCTGGCTTACAAAAAATTAAAAGTACTGTAAAATATTATCGGTTTTATTGTTTTTTTGAACCAAGTGTTTACGGGTGCTGACAATGCCTTGCTGTATATCAATTAGTGTTTTGATAAAAACTATTTTGTTTGAAGTGTCTTGATTAAAATGAAAGCTTTCGTTGAATGTATGTACCAACTCTGAAAGCTTGATAAAGTGATTTTCTAAATATTAACTCCCCCATGTTTCAGATCGCCCCAATCGCCGCCCTCATCGCCGCTGCATCAGCCGGCCAAATCTACTCCGGCCAATCAGCGGAGAAATACGCGCAGTCAGCCGAACAATATCAATCAGCGCTCGAGTATCAGCAACGCGGCTTGTATTCTGACCACTCACAGGCGCCGCAGAGCTTCAGTCACGAAGCTCCAGCGCACTCCAGCAGACCAGCTGGGGAGAAGACTGCCAGGATCCTGGGCTTCGAAGTGGAGAATAATGGACATGAATACAAATACTCTTATGAGACTGAAAATGGTTAGTGAGAAAGTTATTATCATTACTTCATAATATTTGATTTTGACTGCACGGTTGGTGCGGTGGCTGGACAACCGGCTGCCGTGCAACGTGTCGCGGGTTCGATTCCCGCACGGGACAACACTTTGTGTGATCCACAAATTGTTGTTTCGGGTCTGGGTGTCATTGTGTATGTGAACTTGTATGTTTGTAAACGCACCCACGATACAGGAGAAAATCCTAGTGTGGGGCAACGTTTTTTTTAAGAAAAGAGAAAAAAAAGAAAAAAAATATAGTAATGAGTGTGAATCCTAAATTACTTATATAACAAAGTAATTTCTCGTCAAGAATTTGCTAAAATGAAAGAAAATACCCAATATACGTTTACATTTTTAATTAATAAATTAATTATTGAAAAATGTTATCATAGTTTATTCGACTCGGGTATCGAATAGGGACATACAAGGTTCATAACTTACCAATCCTACTTGCAACTATACTTTAAGTATTTATCTCAAATTTTCTATCAATCAATACTATTTAAACTTTCAAAAAACATACACTCTCTTAAATAATTACATAACATAACATCACGCCTTTTATCCCCGAAGGGGTAGGCAGAGGTGCACATTATGCCACTGTAAAATGTAACACCCACTTTTCACTATTTATGTTATGAGTCCCATGTAATAGGGGTTGAGCCTTTTGCCATATACCGGGCACAGTTCCAGACTCCGTGTTACTACTGAGATTTTTTTTTAAAAACCAGTAATACTTTGCCCGACCCGGGAATCGAACCCGAGATCCTTTGCTTGGCAGTGGCACTTGCGACCACTCGCCCAATGAGGCAGTCTCTTAAATCCCATCTTCCGAAAATTCCAGGAATCAGAGCCGAGGAAGCAGGCCAAACTTCAGAGCATGGTACCGTAGCCCACGGCGCCTACTCCTACAAAGGTGATGATGGCCAGACCTACACTGTCACCTACACAGCTGATGAGCATGGTTTCCACCCTCAAGGAGAGCACCTTCCCACACCACCACCAGTTCCTGAAGAAATCCTGAAGAGCTTGGAGCAGAACGCTAAAGATGAAGCCGCTGGTATTTTTGATGACGGTACGTGTAATAATTGTATTATAAAACAACATGAAAATATATTAGTGCAGTTTTTTTAATAGTTTATAGACCGTAAAAGGTATTATTTCTTACGTGGTCGAAAGAATTAGGTATCACATTTAATACGTCTCTGAAGAAATAAAATATTGTTCATTCCTTGACATGTTGACAGCTTAAAATATAACATCATATAAGTATATAATATCACGCCTTTTATCCCCGAAGGGGTAGGCAGAGGTGCACATCATGTCATTGTACTATGGAACACCCAGTTTTCACTATTTATGTTATGAGTCCCATATAATAGGGGGTGAACCTATTGCCATATACCGGGCACAATTCCAGACTCCGTACTATCAATGAGAATTTCTAAAAAACCGAAAAATACTTTGCCCGACCCAGGAATTGAACCCAACACCCTTTGCCCGGCAGTCGCCCTTGCGACCACTCGGCCAACGATACTAATGATATTAGTAACGCCATCTATGTTGTACAAATCGAACCACTAACACGTTGATCGATGAATGTAGAGCTTTTGAATGAACAGAGAATGCAAACTTATGTGTAGTGTTGACTTGATTATTAATAAATATTTAGTGTACAAAAACATTAGTGCGATGTTTTGACTCAAAAAAATAAGTAGGAAAATGATTTCGTGAATGCTAAACAACTGTTAAGTGTTAGACTAAAAGATTTGTGGATTATCAGAAATTAACTAACTAAATTTTTTTCATTCCAGGAAAATACAAGGAGCAATCTGGCCACGGGCTGGCCAATGGTCACCAGCAGCATGAAGCCAGTTACCAATCCGTTGGCTACCAAGCTCCATCAGGACATGGATCAGGCGTTAACTTGGCGTTCCATGGTCAATCTAACCATCTCTCTGGTGCTGACTTAGCGTACCACGCTCATGCAGCCAATGCACTCTCCAGCCACGGTCTTCAAGGTCATTCTTCTGGTGCCCAAGTGGGACATCAGACTCCTGCAAGTCATGGCATCCAGTTAGCATTCCATGTTCCTTCAGGCCATGCGTCGGGTACTCAAGCATCATACAGTGCCCCGGTTCACAGGCCAAATCCTCAATTAGCGTACCATGCTCAAGCAGCTCAATCCTCAGGAGGGCAACTAGCTTTCCATCTTCCTTCAGGACACAGTTCTGGTGCCCAATTGGCTTTCCATGTGCCATCAGGGCATGCATCTGGTGCCCAGTTGGCGTATCAAGTCCCCACGGGTCATGCATCGGGCTCTCAAATGATGTATCAGGGATATGCTGGCAATGCCCATTCAGGTCATGCTTCGATTCCTGAATTGGCGTACCATCATTAATAAAATCTCATCGAAAGATGGTAGTGAATAACTTGTAAATAAGGATAGTATGAACATGATGAACGATAATCTATACGACTCTAGAATCATTTCCACAATTAAAGTTTACTATTTCGTAGGCGGAAATCACTCACGCATAAAAATCAATATTGAGAAACACAAATATTTAATAATATAATAATATCTCTCAATAATATAATATTCTTGTTAATCTTCAATGTAATGACAAGTGAAATGGCATTAAAAGTAAAATTATCAATCAATTGTGGCAACATAATCAAAACATTACCAAAAAGTGATTCGTCAAACGTCAATCATGGCTACCATAATGGCGGCTTGACACATGTCAATGTCAAGCTGTCATGGCGGCGAGAAGACGTTATAATAAATATTAGGACTTGTTACATAATTTGCATCTGTTGAAGGTTTATTTGATGGTGCAGTTACTGTTTTACATATAAAAACGGCAATGGAGACGTTACAAAACGATGATTGATTTTTGTTGCCTATTTCAAAATTTGTTACTAAAACCTAGTCAATGGATTCGCAATACCGATGCCAGAACTTTTTGCGTTTAACTCGTCGAGTACCGTATATATAGACACAATTAAAGAACAATAGGTCGCGGTCACCGGTGACCGCTTGGTGTTTGACAGTTTAAAATGGCTGACATTTCGATCCGTGACTAATATTTAAAACCTAGTAATAGTCAATTTGGTATCGTAGGTACTGCGTAGTTAAATATTGAATGTCTAAATTATATTGTTATGTTTTTACTTTGTTTTGTAATAAATATTTTTTATTGGTATTGAAGTTATTCTTTATGTTCTACCCTTTATTTTTACCGACTTCAAAAAAAGGAGGAGGTACTATGTTCGGCTGATTGTTTTTTTTTTTTTTTTCGCGCACTCCGTTGTATTATAATGATATAACTTAATGCCCACAAAATTGTGAATTAGGTTTTAATGAATAATTTTGTATGGAACTTATGGCACCGACTTCTTACCTATCAGTGGGTGGGTAACCTATCAGTACTAATAATAGTTATTTTTTGCTTTTTAGTTTTGACTTTTTGTTTGTTATTAGTTTTTGGTTTTTTGAAGTCGTTTTTTTAATTATTTATTGTCTTTTGAGTGAGTATAAGCCAAATTGCTAGCACTGGCAGCCTGGATTAAGTTTGATTCCCGGTTTACGTGATTGTAAATCACACTAATATTATAAACTAGCTTCTGCCCGCGACTTCGTACGCGCAATCCCGATATTTCCCGTTCCCGTTCTTGAATTTCGGTAAAAATTTTAAAAAAAGAATTGGGTAAAAAGTATCCTATGTCCGTCTCCTGGTTCTAAGCTACCTCCCCACCAATTTTCATCCAAATCGATTTAGCCATTCTTGAGTTATAAATAGTGTGTGTAACTAACACGACTTTCTTTTATATATATAGATGTGAAAGTTTCTTTGTTTGTATGTTTGTCCGTCAATCACGCTGAAACTACTGAACGGATTTTGATGAAGTTGGTATACAGGAAGAGTATGCGCTGATTTAGGTGATAGGATTTTTCCTGATTAAACGCTCCCATGGGAATGGGATAAAAAACAAGACTACGCGGTAATCCGGAAATAAAAATAGTGTTGTTGTAAATCAATACTATCTTTATATACATATATAATTCTTCTGTGAGTGTGTATGACACTGAACTTCTCTCAAACGACTGGACCGATTTTGATGAAATTTTTTGTGTGTGTTCAAGGGAATGGTTTAGATTCACAAATCAGCCCGGCAGATGGCGCTGCAGTCGGTGTCTAGGTTAGTTATCCTAAACGGCTGAACTAATTTGAATGAATTTTTGTTTATACATTCAAGTGGATATGCAGGACAACGTCTGCCGGGTCCGCTAGTTTTGTATAAAACCGTTGATATTTATGAAAGCATTGCTAAACTCAATAAAATTAGCGCCTTAAACAGATACTAATAAACTGCATCCTTTGAAACAGACACATGTTGTAACTTGTACATTGTGATACAATCACTTTCAGTTATTTTCTAAGAATTAGGCTCAGCAGAATTTATTGCCTATCTTCAATAACCTTGGGGATAGAGAGGTATGCGAGTTGGGTCATCAGATCTGCCATTAAAGGTGTTGTGATGATGACAGCCTCGTTGTTGAGTGTATGGTTGCAAGTAGGGATTTTAAGTGTCCATTTGCGTGTTGGGAAAACTATCAATGTCAATGGAATTGTTTTCTGATTCTTAATTGTAGGTAGTTCTTTTCAAAAAAATAATTAATTATAAACTTTATATGGCGTGACCGCTTAGCCTAGGTAATTGAAAAATCATGACTTTTCTTTCTGTACGATTTTCCTCATCATTTGTATAAAATGAATGAATCAAAGAAAGATTAATAATTTCTGTTACATTTCTAATTGATTCTTTTTTAATACCACCTTCGGCACTCACCTTACATTTATCCAAAAAATGATTCCACCTTACAATACCCACTGAAAAACAACATTACTAAAACATAACAATACCTATGACGTAACTCTATTACGCACAATTACAACCTACGCGTTCCTGTTGCATCTTTTCTTAGTTATGTTCTACTATGATCCAACATAATACCTATGCTAATACCTATAATACGGTAGGTGACAATAACTATACTTTTCTATGAATTTTGTATTGGATCGCAATTTATGACGACATCATATTTCTGCGTCAAATACCATACCTACTTATTTCCTTAAAATTAGCGAGGCAAAATCCAAAAGTAGGTAGATAAATTGTCAAATCAATGGATGAGAGTATGATTATTTTTTAATTATTTATTGCATTGAAAGGTTGAAACAATTTATTTTAAACCTAACTAGCCTATTACTGGAACTAGGCAAAAACCTAAAAAAGTACCAATAGTAAATTATGTAATGAAGACTTAACGTACAAAATACTGAGTTGCCAATAGCAGTCACCCTTTATAAAATACTTACATTCAGCCGAAACTAATTAAAACGTTGTCGTCACTCACCCAAATTATATTAAATTTATTACCACAGAACATATGATTATATGTTCTGTGTTTATTACTAATTTATTTTTATCACATTACTAATCAACCACTAATAGTCTACCACGCTGAACGTGAATCAATGGGGATGATGACAGGGTATGAAAATTAAAAATATAATTAGTCCGTAAGTTAGGTAATGAAAAAATATTAGACACGTATTTTTTTATTTTGTCGTATAATAAAACAATACTTAGATAAAACGAATCAAAGTTTAGGAGTGGGGGCTAAAACGTCATTTCTTAGTATAAAATGTACTGAGAAGTGACGTCACGCGACATTTCAAATCAATATATCTTCGAAACTATTCGTTTCTGTGAGAAAATAAAAAATACGTGTCTAATGTTTTTAAATAATCTATCAGACGGACATTAAAATAAAAATTAGTCGTCTACCCTATTAGTACCGTGACTTTGATAATGTCGTCAGTCCACTCAGTAAAAAGGCTAACCACTAAGAACTAAATACAGCCCTGGAATCCAATATTAGACCAAAATTAAAAGACTAGGACAGTTTTTTCAACAAAAACTCAAAGAAGAACTTTACCCACTGTGACCCACTGACATTCAGATTTATGACCTCGACATAATATCTGTTACGCCGCAAAAATACAGCGAAGTTGATTTATTTGAAGCGTAACATTTGGTAATAGTTTTAATAGTGTAGTTAAATATGGCCGCTCGTTATTATATCTACGTATTTAGTTATGGTTTAATGCGATTACTTTTAAAGTAACTGGACTCCGATTTTTATTATGTGATGTCGTAAAGCTGTGCTTTGTTTTTAAACGAATAGTAATAGAATACATATAGATTATTGAAAATTTGCATTTGTTTCGATTGTAATTTTTTTAGGTTTTAAATATTGTTTTCATTTCCAGCTACCAGCATTGATATAAAACAGGTCTAAACACTAGTTTTGTAAAAACGCTTTTCATGTGATGCGTGATTGATCATGTTTATATGGTGTAGGTACTTGCTGTTTTAAGGCTTAAACTGCAACTCCTGTAAGCCAGGATCTACAATAGATACAACCATGAAAACATCGGAACACTGAAGTGCGGCGCGTCCATGGTGTACTTGCTTGTATACCTACTATCGTGGTTTGTTATTATTTTACAGTATTTCAATTGATTTTTTTAAATTAAAAAATCATTATTAATGGAATGAGTGAGTGGAGCTCGCTTACCGTCAATAGACGCAGGCCCAAAAGAAGTTGGTGAGATGAACTGGACATCTTTTTTATGACATAAAAAAGGTTTCATCTCATCTATGATAAGGATTGGCCTCAAAGTGATTTACGCGAAAGCTGATGGAAGGAGGGTAGTGAGGCCTTTGCCCTGCAGTGGAACGATCAGGGCTGAAAATAAATAAAATAAATAATACTGTCTTATCCAGCAAACCAAAAAATACACAACTCAACTTAACACTACACTAATCACTAGATAAATTACTAGGCACATATCACAAAGATCATAACAGAACAAACTCAATACGCTTCACAAGGACACAATTACAGGTTTATTAGAGGAGCCATGTTGGAAGCTGCGTGGATCACAGATTAGTCACCGATCTATTGTTATTAAGGCATTCATTATTGTTACGCTGTCAAAATTTGACAAATGAAATGCATTTTGAACTTATAAACTTTGGTCTAGAGGTTGCATATTGAAGGCTCGAGTTTAATAGGGATGATGACAGGGTATGCAAATTAAAAATCTATTTAGTCCGTAAGATAAGTAATAAATACGTATTTTTTTATTTTGTCGTATAATAAAATGATACTTAGACATAACGAATCTGTCGCGGAGAACCTAACGGGTAACCGGGGCTCCGGCTCGACGTGCAGGAGAAGGAACGGGGTGGTTTTTAGTCAGTAAGAGTCTGACACTCCCTTCCGCCTCACCCAGGCGGGAGCAGTCATTCGATGATTTTCCC